CCTCTCTCTCTCTCTATATATATATATATATATATATATATATATATAAAGATGGACGAAATGTATCTGAAGTAGTGATTCCAGCAAGTACACCCTTGTGCAAATTAATTGAAACAACCACTTTAGTTTAGTCTTTTTCACCCTCCGGTCAGTTTTAGAACCAGTCGAATGACAGGGTGTAATCGATTTCTATTTTTTCCTCAGATTAGGTCATTTGTAGTGGTGTGCAGTAATATGAATTTATTTTCAGAGTCTGTGATGAAATTTGTTTGGCCTTGAAAAAATATTGCGTCATCCGTGATTGCATCAGATCTTTATCACGCCCAGACACTATTGTCTCGACTGTCGATTAGTTGTTCTAGGGCCATTGTCTGCGATGGACGTTACTCCAAGGAAGCGTACGAAAATTGTAACGCAAGCATTACCAGTGAGCAAATGAAAGTGCTATAGACTGTCCCGAAAACTCTCCTGATTTAAATCCAATCGAGAATCTATGGTCAATCTGTAAAGAATAACTTCGTGGAATCTGTAAAGAATAACTTCGTGGAATGGACATACGAAGTACTGGGTCATGTTTCATTGGAAAAATACGAAAAAAGTAAATAATAACGGAATTATTCGTTTTGTTTCAATTAATTTGCACAAGGGTGTAGATAGATATGCAAAGATTTATCTATTCATAGAATGGTATGCATATATAGGTAGACACACATAGATTATTACAGTAATACTCAGGTGAACTTAATGTTCAGCAACTGATATATTTATTTTCCACACTCGCTGTAAGTAAAAAATAACGTGGAGTAAATGAGTTCTCTCTCTGTGTGGTGTCTTCGATTAGGTTTTAGGCCTTCCGTACCTGGAGAGACGCTAATCACATTCATTAACGATACATCAAATTATGTAGCAATATTTTCAATAAGATAAACCTATCGTTTATCCTTTATCTATGAAAAGGTAAAAACTTTACAAACAGCAAAAAAGATATGTGCCGTTAATGGAGATGGTGCCGTAGCTGAAGGTACGGTTCGTAGGTGTTTTGCTACGTTTAAAAGTGGAAATTATCAGTTGGTAGACTTGGAACGTTCCAGAAGGCTCGCAATAGCTGATGATGACCTATTCGAAACGTCGATTAAATATAATCGAGGCAACTCGGTATGGTACATCAGGCGGGGGGGGGGATACTCGCGTAATTGGATACGTGAATCGATACGATGTTTGAGTGGTTTGTGATTTATTGGAGAAGAATTTAATGGAGATCATTTCTGTTTTCATTTCTCTGGATGGAACAAGTTTTCTATTTCTTTAAAAAAAAGAAAAAAAAAACGAAATCAACCATTGCCAACCACTGCAAAAATCAGGCTGCAACTGAAGAAGGCGATGCTGTGGAACTGGTGAATTTGCAAGATCATTGTGTATTAGAAGATCGTTTCAAATTGAACTGAAGAAAGTAATCTTCCCAACTGCACTTATTAAAGACTTAACCAATCGCAGTGTTAGCGCCTTCCATAAGAATGGCGCCAAATTTTGTCGGGGTTTCGCTGTTACATCAAACTACACGAGCTGTACTCACCTGTTCTTAGATCCCCAAATAATAACTTTATTTCTCTACATCCTTGCGGTTACATCACTGGAGTTAAGCCACGTTGAATTTGGTCACTACCTTGAATGTGTCTGCTTGGAAATATCCGGGGCTCTAAGTGTGAGTGGTGTAATGCATTGTAAATCGGAGAGCGGAGTTCGAATTTCAGTTGGGTTCATTACATTCATTTACGCATCAATACAATTAGAGGAAGTTTCTGAAACAGTTGAATCGGGCCTCCTACATAAGAGGAAGAAATGACAGATAATACACATCGATCCATGCACAAAAATCGATGAAAGAATGTTTGGTTCTCCGGAGCTATATTTTCTTTCAGTTTTTTTTTCTTTTCAGCAATTCATTAAGGTCTTGAAATTAATTTGTTAAGACTTTTGTTGGAAGCTTCAAAATATAATGTTTTTTTTTTCTTCTTCTAATTGATCTGGAAAATATAGACATTTAAGTAAAACAAATAAATACATTTTGCTTGAAGCCAATTTCATTAAGACAGAATGTGCTGTTATTAAGGGAACTTCTTTCGTGGCATTGGTTTCTATGTTTCAAAGTACATATACAAATATGCATATTAATATTCAATATATATATATATATATATATATATATATATATATATATATATATATATATATATATATGGACGTCATTTGTTTACATTTGTATACGCTTTAAGCAGATATGAATATACGTGAAAGATTCATGGAAGATGGAAGTTTAAAAACAGTAAAATCGACCTTGTCAATCGAGCGATTATCCGTGGCTCGATTCGGTTAAGGCACGTCAGGCTAAATAACGGTTCCGTATAGGGTACATGTTCGATTCCTGACGGAGGATAAATATTTTCTATGAAAATTTTTCGGACATTCAGGCCGGTAAATGTTATTAATACTGTTTATTATAAACAGGGCATTTACTTAAATATTTGTATCTATAAAAAGAATGTATAAACATAAAAAAGACTTAAAATAATTGTCGGACTTTGTCCATTTCATAATGTGTGACGTCATTT